TATTAATTATTATTATTGTTATAATTGTTGTTATTATTTATTTTTGTTGTTATTGTTATTGTTATAGTTGTTTTTATTAATTAATATTATTGATATTTTTATTGTTAAAATTGTTGTTATTAATTATTATTATTATAGTTAAACACTTTTTATTAAAAAATTAATTGTTAATTATGGCATCGAACAACCCATCATCTAGGTCTAGGGGGAAAGGCCGACTTATCCGTAGTAGTAGTTCTAGGGAACCACCAAATACAACGAGCCCCCAAATTACGAGTCAAACCAATGACCCCATTTACTTCCCCCCGGGCTATGAGCCATATAATACGTCGGGATTTCCAGCACCACCACTAAACCAATTTCCACTACCACCATACCAATTTCCACCTAATTATATCGGTGATCAACAAAACTATTGTTCTAGCCAAGGTAGCCAAGAAAGTACCCGAATTCCCTCCGGTTCTACCCCTTCTACTGCCACTCCCACTAGTCCCACTACTAACCATCACACACATCATGAATGGTTAACCGAAACTGAGATGCTACTTTTGAAAAACCGAAGGAGTGAGGTATGGCGTTATTTTGTCCTAAGTAAAGATGGTGAACAATGGGCAAAATGTAAAACATGTAATAGAGTATTCACGACAGTTACCAAAAACGGGACGGGACACTTATCTAGACACATGAAAGCTTGTGCAAAACCAGCTAGTGATCCAACCCAGCCCAAAATTTCCCAATTCCATCCATACGGCTTTACATACAACTATGAGAGGGATAGGGATGAATTAGGAAAAATGATAGTACACGCCGAACAACCTTTTCTTTTCTCGGAAAGTGACGCATTCAACACCTACATTAACAAAGCACTACAACCCCAACATAAAAGAATCTCTAGGAAAACCGTTCGTTCCGCCGCAATGAAAAATTTCCTAGAGTACAAAGTTCGGTTACAAGCCGAATTGAGTAACCTTAACTGTAGAGTATCTTTAACAGCCGATTCTTGGGATAGTGGTTATAAATATCACTATTTATGTGTGACTTGCCATTGGGTAGATGATCAATGGATGTTACAAAAAAGAATAATACATTTCAAAATGCTGGAATACCCACACATCGGCATTAACATTGCTCACCATTTAATGCAAGCAATAGACGAATACAACCTTCGAGATAAAATGATGTCTATGACTTTTGATAATGCAACCTCTATGACATACACAGCTAATCTTATCAAACAAAACTTAACCGATGTACTATTAGACGGTGAAGCTCTTCATACTAGATGTGTTTGCCATGTACTTAACTTATGTGTACAGGATGGAGTTCGGGCAATTGGCCCATACTACAGCAAAATCAGAGATGCTATTATGTCTATTAATAGCTCTAACATGAGATACCAAGAATGGAAGAGTTTTCTAAAACAACAAAAAGATAAGGGTAATAAAAATTAGAACCGATTGCCCAACTAGGTGGAATTCCACCTATGACATGTTAACAAAGGCAATTGAGTACAAGGGCCCGTTAACATTATTTTACAACCAAAAATTTCCACAAAATGCTTTGTATGATGATGATTGGAATAACTGTGAAAGATATATGCAATTTTTACAGTTATTATATAACATGACGTATTGTTTTTCTACTGTTTACAATCCTTGTGCTCAAAACTTTCTTTCTAATGCATGCTTACTCGCCCAACTTTTCGCTGATCATCGCCATCAAAGTGATTATGATCAGTATCTTCCAGCAATGGAAAAAAAGTGGCGTAAATATTATAGTGAGATTCCTTTGATTTATATTTTTGCTTCCATATTAGATCCTAGGCAAAAGTATGAAAACACATTTATGTTAGTTGACATTTACTTTCAATGCATGTTTCTTGACGATGATGTAGAAAACTATAAGACTAATGTGAAGGATCAGTTTTTTGCTTTATATAGAGTCTATGAAGCCAAATATAGCACCGTTCCTCGCTCAGGGCCTTCCCAACCATCCAAAAACGTAAGTAAGAAGGCCAAACATTTATTTTCACAAGCTACTAACTTGATTTCAAGGTTTTCAGGTGATTCATCAATCAGGAGAACGCAAAGCGACGTCTCGGAGTTGCAGATGTACCTGAGTTACGACTTCACCAAAGGCATGGACGACGATGAGATAAACAGCCTCGACCTCCTTGCATGGTGGAAACAACAAAGCTCGAAGCATCCAACTTTGGCGGCAATGGCACGAGACATTCTTGCTATCCAAGTTTCCTCCGTCGCCTCCGAACGAGCTTTCAGCGCATCCGGAAGGGTTTTAGACGATAGAAGAACAAGTCTAAAACCCGAAACACTAGAAATGTGCGTGTGTTTCAAAGATTGGTTGGATACGGAAAATCGCTCACAAGACCGTTCTTACGACCACAACGACAACGAAGAAGGAACCTCCGCTTCCGGTTCGGGTTCGGCTAGTTCCCAATCTATGCAACTAGCCGATGACCTTGAAGGCGAAGGCGAAGACGAAGACGAAGACGAAGACGAGCAAGAAGAAGGAGAAGAAGAATAGACAATTATTGTATATTGTACGATTTTAAAAATATCAATTTTATCATTTTCCAATTTTTGTTTAATACCATCATTGTATGATTTTTATCATTGTTATCATTGTACAATTTTCTCAACTCAAGTAATAATAATATAAAGTACGCATTATTCACGTCCAAAGTCCAATTTGCCTTTTTTCCCCGTTTTGTTACAATTTGTAAATTCATATTAAAAAAAAATAAAATTATACCAATTACTAATAAATCATAAACATTAAATTTTAAAGTAATAGTATAAAGTAAATATATAAATATAAATATTGAATATACAAATTATAAAACATAAATATTCAACTTATAATTATAAAATTCATAACTTAATAACTTATAACTTATAAGTTATAAACTTATAAGTTATAACCTTATAAAACTTATAATTATAATTTTATAACTTATATACATTATAAACTTATTAATTTATAATGTTGTCATAAAAAAAAAAAAAAAATTATTTGAAAACTGCACCAGCCCGCTGCCAGCCCGCAGGCCGGCTCGTGGCCGGCACGGCACGAGCCCGCCAGGCACGAGGGTCGTGCCGTGCCGTGGGCTGGCTTGTGAAAATGGCCGGCACGGCACGGCACGAAATCCTGGGCCCGCCGGCACGACGGGCACGGCACGAACCAGCCCGTGGCCCGCCAGGCACGGCCCGCGGCGGCCCGGCCCGGCACGGTGCCCAGGTTTACCAGCAACTCAGCTCGAGTACAGGTGTAAACACCATACTTCAAGGCACATGTTTCATTCGCTTCTCCTCGGTGGCCTCGGAATGATACCTCCTCCCCCAGCTGCTCCAGGGTTGCCTTTGGCAGCCCCATCAGAATTTAACCGCACCTAGTCAGGTGGAGGAGCCATACATGTGGTTTGTTCATGACTCAACACTCCACTTACATATGAGTTGTCCATAATATGTTTCCGTATTTCATAAGTATTAATTGCACTCATCAGTCGGCACTCCAAAAATGTGACATTACAAAACGACTCAGGCCCTGCTTAGTTCACCTTTAAAAAATAATATTCAGTAAAAATAATTCAATTCAGCAAAAATAAGTTTAGTTCAGTAAAATTAATTTCAGTTCAGTAAAGCGTGTAGCAGCACATTTACAGTAGAAACCATTACTTGAAGCTATCAATGACTTTTGCTAATTCTAATGTGACAGAGGACCCTAAACCCGTGGACCTCTTGAAAATATTGCTATTCCTAATAAGGTTTGATCGATTAGATGATGATTAAAGATATCAACGATTGAAATAATGCAATGACAAACGTGAAATGAGAAGTGTTGCAAGTAAAACCGAGGAAGTATTATAGTATGATGTGAGGTGTAATCTTTTCTACTTATCATCATGGCAAATTGTTGAGATTGGAATCTATCCTTGAATAGCGAGTTTTCCTATTAGTTTATAGCATGATATGGCTGAAGTTATATTCTCCAAAACTGGAAAGTCCCAGTGCATCTTGATAGTGGATACAAGAACTCAAGAAGTCTTTCTGAATTAGGGGTTAGGTCATGTTACATAATTACTCAACCTTTAAATTATACATGATTACTCAAGAAGTATTTTTTACTCTATCTTCCTTCTTCTAACTTCATAAGGATATGCTGATTTGGTGGTATGCAATATTAGAAGAATATACACTGGTTATTATGTTCATTTTAAGTAACTTAGCTGCCACTTTCAAAAAAATAATTTGGTTCTACTTCTTTGATCTGAAAAGTGTAAGTATTGAAACACGGAGTATAGCTTTTCTGTTAGCAGTTTTGCCTTTGTAAATGTACAGAGTAATATTGTACACTAACATATACTCGTAGTAGCAGTCTTTGAAATCCAGTAGTAGTTGTTGATGAACATCTTTCAATAGTTTGAAATTTACCAATGTTTCTCTAGAAATTCGGATGCATATAGCTATTTCGATCATTTCCCATCTGATCACTAAGCTGTGGTTCTTTTGGAGTTTATGAACATCTTTCAGTAGTTTAGAACTAGAAGATAGAGACAGACAACAGAGCCACCCTTTTTTTTTTTTTTTTTTTTGGTTCTGTTGCGTTGCTTGTTACATGCTCTCAACTTTACACATCACACAAGATTTATTCTTCCATTAACGGTTTATTTCATTTTCAGTGACTCAAGTGGGTATACAAGAAGCTGAAATTATTGAATCAGTAATGGAGATGCTTCTTGCTCAATAGTCTTGAGGCACATTTAAGAATGTTAATCTATGTGACTTTCACCGGATCTGCAAATCCTGTTAGGGTTACGTTTTAAGCACATTATATTAATAACTATCGTACTGGGGTTGTGTATATTATTTCGAAGTCATTAGCATTCCTAATAACATATCACTCGATCATTACATTGAGAAATCTACATGCTCTGTATATGAGTTGATAGTATCACCACAATATTTCAGTATGCACCTCTGTTTGCTCGACTGCAATGCACGGATTTGGAATGTCATTAACATTGGACTCACTTTCGTCCTCTTGTAATCACAACATTGATGCTTATTTTAAAGAGAGGAGAAAGCGAAAGAGAGAGAGAGAGAGAGAGAGAGAGAAAAGGGGATGGATCATTCAATTATTCCTTCCATCCCTGTTTATTTTACACATTTTCCGATTGTATCTAATAATCGGTTACTAACCACAGCAGTAAGTTAATCATTTGACTTATTACACTGTAGTAGTGAAGTTAAAGAAAGAACATCTAATCCTATCATAAACGAGAGAAGAACTAATTCCAATCCTGTTCTTAGCCCGATCAAATTGAAGCAAATTATCCTCAATCTGATACCCTCCTACAACAATTGATGACCTTGGGTTTTTTCCACCATCCACAAAAGCAATACAATACCCAACATAGGTTCTCACCAAAGAGTTCAACGGGGCTATCGTCCATACTGCGTTCTTGCCCTGCAGCACCAAGTCGATGTTGGACACCGAGGGTCCAACCCTCGAGGATGGGAGAGTATCGTAGCAATACTTGAATGGTGCAACCGGAGCAACTCTCTTAGTCGGGTAGGAAGTGTTTAGTATTTGTCTGTCGAAAGCAGCAGAGACAGCGTTGTATATAGAAGTTTCCATACTAGTGTAAGGTTGTAACAAACTTATGGTTGTTCCACCATATCCCTTGCTATCTATAGTAAATAAGGACTTGTTGATCGGTACGTCTTCTCCTCCAACTTTGATACCTTGTACGCCTATGAAGTACTCGGACGTACGAACTGGGTTAGTGATCAGAGGAGTGTAAGTAAGCATGCTTCTAAGGTCTACATTAAGACCGGTGCCTCCTGGGGTGATGTTGTAAGGCCCTTCACCGAGGAAAGCGAAACCATTTTCCGAAAACGGAGGCAAACACAAAGCAAATGTTTGAGCCAAACGGAAAGCTGAGGACGCTTGTGTAGGGAATGAAACTTTAGTCCTACCGAAGCCAGCAACTCCGGACACCCCTTTCGCGAGACCACCTAATAAGGAGGTGGGCGCGCAAACGAAGAGGAAGTTGGGGATGGTGACGAGATCACCAGTGGTGGCGCCGTTAGAGGAGTTGAGTTGTATTACGTCGGTTGCGAGCTCGCTTCCTTTCTTCGTGGATGTGTTGGTGATGGGGTTGCTGATGATGGCTCTACATGTGTTGTTGTTACACCCCGGCTTAGGGCCTGAAGGACATGACCTACATATCTTGGCATTGGCGAGAGCACAAAGTGGGGAACCGCATGGGACGGGTTTGTATGTCGAGGATACGTAGCGTCGGCCGCAGTTGAGCCATAGGTATTGTGTACCGAGGTCTAGTGTTAAAGGAACAAATACTGGGGGAGTTCTTTGGAGGATTTTGGTTGTGTATTGGGAGGTGGTGGTGTCCTTTGAGACGGTCAAGAGTAGAGATTTGGGGCGAGGCGAGACGATGGCCAAAGCCGCGGAGGTGGTGGTGGTGGTGGAGGTGAAATATATGAAGAGGAGATACAAAGGAATGAGATAGTGATTAAAGAAAGAAGTCATTTTTGCTAGAGAAGTTGGATATAAGATTTAGTTTGAGTCTTAATTAAAATGGAAAAGTCTCACTTTTAAAGGAGTTTAAAGATAAGATGGAATGATGGATTATTGGTTTGATGGTGGTTGAAAGTCAATTCATTGATGCTGTGATTTTTTTTTAGTTCATTTGTACGTGAATTATTGCAATTTTAGAGGCCAGCTCATTCAGATGAAGTTAGTTGACCTTATTATATTTCTAAAAACTGTAACTTGTAAAAATGGAAGAAGTAAGTTGGCACTTGCAAACAAGCAATGTGATGAGAAGCACCGACACTTAGATTAGTTTCTATTGTTTGGACTTTGGACTTTGTAGATCATTGAATTCAAGGTTTCAAGGACATTGTTTATATTTCACGCAATTATTATTCCTTCCCGATAATCAAAATTATATTATGTAAACTGCCCTTCTTAATTTTTAATTATTTAATACTCTATATGCCATACTTCCTAGATCTGATTTCAGATATATGTGCTATTTTTTTTTCTTTTATTTTTTTTTGGAATAAAGATATATGTGCTATTTTGAGTGAACTTATATCTTTGACAATAATTACATTGTAACGTCAATCAACGGTAAGTTGATGACTAATAAGAATTAATATATTATGAAAAGATATGATTGAATTAAGTTTGACAAATAGTGAAAAACGTCTAAATGAATTGAAACTTCAATTCTATTCAAATCAGAGGAAGTATAAATTAGAGTAATTGGTTGGTTGTATCTAGAAAAACACAAGTCTAATAAATTAATAATTTTCCACCTAAAGATTGTAAGAAATGATAAGATATGTTAACTAAGAAGTTACAGTAGGTTTCACTTACTTGTTTAGGGTAGACAATTATAAAATTTCCTCTTTTATACGTAGTAGGATGTATAACTTCTGAAATGCTTTAGTCAAGTGAATCAACCTCTCCTAGGGCCTCCATTTACGACCAGGCTAAACAATAACTGTTTTCCATTCTCCTTTAATGATCTCAATGTTGTTCACACACTCCGACTCATAATGTGAACCACTTTTTATTTTTTGGTTGTCTAAAAATAATAATCTTTGAATTACGTCATGTATTTTTTTTAATGCAAAAACTAACAAACGTTTCAGAGGTGTTAGATAAGGTGACTAAAAGTAGAAATATTAAATTAAAATAAACATTAATTACACCGATTGACGCGTAATTTGACATACATTTCCAAATTAATACCACTTTAAGAAGTATTTTAAATTCTTATCTAACGCCCCGAAGGTGTTTGTTAGTAAGATCCTTTTTTTAAATGCTGAATTATTTTCCCTCTACTTTTATACCTTAGGAGTTAGGAGACTCCAAAAAAACCCTTTTAACAATTTTTCCCTACTATTAGTACTATTCACCCTCCTTTTTGGTGAACATAAACCATGGGTAAAGTTTATGAAAAACTTACTTGTATAAGAATGTAGAAGTAGAACAAGCTAAGAAAACGAAGTGGATTGATTCTAGGGCCACCAGGCTTTTAGCTTGATGAAGTGGGGCATGCCAGTGGCGGTTCCAGTATGAGTTCAGTGGGTTCAGCTGAACTCATACTAGATTTGGGGAAAATTCGTAATTTAGCGATAAAACAAATTTAAGATAAATAAAAATGTAACTATTATGTGATACTAAACCCATTTTGCTTTTATTTTTTGTAAAAAAAACTACACATTTTATATACTACTCTGTAGCCTATTAATTTCTATGATTGATTTGTTGCTTTATTTGATTTGCATTGAAGAAGTACTGGCGCCTAGGGCCTATGTGCCAATGAAACAAATAGGATGACATTTTTTAAAACAATAGGAACATGAGAAAAAGCAGTGGTAGAAATTTTGATGGCAAAAAGTATCACTACATGCATGATGGTACATTAAATGTACCATTGTACCATAGAGAAAAAAAATAATAAAAATCGTACCTCAAATTACCCTCCTATGTGCATGTGAAACACGTAAGCCCTATACGCCTAGATGCACTCGATTTTCATTATATTGTTTTTTCTTTTTATTAAAATTAAAAAATATGTATGTTTATTTTTACACAATCATACTTTTTGATTACCTGATCTATTTTATTTTGTTAACTTGACATGTTATATACTACCCTTTAAATTTCAATAATTAATTTTACTTCATTTTGCTGTTTTTACTGCATATATTTTCCTTTTCATTAAAGTCAAAGCATGTGAAGTATTTTATTTTACACAACTATACTCTTATTCTGCACAAGTATTGTATTATATTTATCGACATACATCGATCAACTAGATGATCTTATGAACTCCGAGAATCCGAACCCATAAGGAAAAATTCCTAGAACCACCACTGGGACATGCAGAGTAAAATGTTTCAATTGCCATAAAAATAACTAAATCAATGTCCTAGAAGCGCCTATATAGTATTCTCAATTATTCAAACTAAGATCATAAATGATCAGTAAATGGGGAGAGAAAATTCAACTTACACGATGGATACTACTAAATTTGTCTTATCCACAATTTTCTATTTATTGCATTATTGTCTATATCGTACAATCAATTTTGGCATTCTCTTCTTGTCATACAAATAATAAATTAATACTTGTAATAAATAAATAACAGACATTATCTTCTCTCTCGAGTGAAGGCTAAATTAACTAATTTGATCATATTATAAATTTAGATCTATATAAGATTCAATTAGATTAAATAAGGGACAATTATTATAAGGTCTAAAATATTCCAATTATTTCTTAGATTTAGATATACTATATATATATAAAAAAATAAAAATAAAAAAATAAAAAAAATAAAAATCAATCACGTACAATCAATTATTTCATGCATTTGATAGCGTTTGTTGATGGACGATTTCCCTAAAAATTGCTTAAAGATAAAATAATTCCCTATTTGTGTCGGTTTTAAAACTAATTCTCATCCTAGTGTTCACGTAGGCTTGGTGGTAGCTTTGTTATTATTATTATTATTATTATTATTATTATTATTATTATTATTATTATTATTATTATTATTATTATTATTATTATTATTATTATTATTTTGGTTTAGTGAAGAACTACTAACGGTGATAGCGGTTCTATACAATAAAACCGCTATCACCGTTAGCGGTTCTTCTAATTAAAATGTATCACACTTATAATCTTCTTTCCATTTGTATAGAACCGATATCACCGGTAGCGGTTCTTCTAATACCACACTTATAATCTTCTTTCCACTTCCTCAATTAGAAGAACCGCTAACGATGATAGCGGGTCTATACAATAAAACCACGCTATCACTGTTAGCGGTTCTTCTAATTAAAATATATCACACTTATAATCTTCTTACCACTTCCTTAATTAGAAGAACCGCTAACGGTGATAGCGATTCTATACAATAAAACTGCTAAAACCATTAGCAGTTCTTCAATGAACCAGAATTTAAAAAAAATAAAATAAATAAATAAATAAAAAATAACGAAGCTACCACCAATTCTACATGGATAATATGGTGGGAATCTAATATCATATCACTAATAAATAAAGATAAAGTCGGTCTTGCAGCCAGGCCACAAGACAGCGACACTTAGCATTCTAATTTTTCGCCAAGTGTCGCACCACTTAGGCGACAAATAGGTATTATTGTGACACATATGATGCTAAGTAAGCAGTTTTTGGACAGATTTTTTAAGATAAAAATGTTGTATACAGTTTTATTATCACTATACTTCTAATATTTCATATATACAAAATGAATCATAACTTTTAATAAATATCCTATAACTCAGTTTTATTTGCATCATATAATTCGTTTCAAAAAGTTCTTTAAAATAATATCCATCTATAATATATTTAATCACAAAACTTTTATGCGTAGCTGGCCACATTGTGTCACCAACTATTACAAGAATTACTTCGTTAGTTTTATAGGGGTTACTTGGTCAGTGTTATACTGGTTACTCAATCAGTGTTATAGATAGGAGTTACTTAGTCAGTGTTAGAGGTTAGTTACTTAGTTAGTATTATAGGGGTTACTCGGTCAGTTTTATAAGGGTTACTTTGTTCGGCTAGATGATGTGGCTAGCTGCATACAAAATGCATTGTTATTTAATTTATTTTTAAAAAAATATTAGAGAATCAGTAAAAATAAGTTTTAATCGGTAAAATTAATTTTAATTTGGTAAAAATGCTTTCAGTTCTGTAAAAATAGTTTAAGTTCATTAAAAATAATTTCAAGTCAATAATAACATAGTAATCTATTTATAAACAAAACTACAAAAAATATTATTATATAAATATAAGCCATATTATATCATAGGTCTAAATATCCTATATTATCAAAACGAATTATTTAATCATATTTAACATTAAAGTAAAAATATTATCTTAAAATTTTATCAACCATTTGGGCATTGCCCGGGCACAAAACTAGTATATATGTAAAGGGGAGTTTTTTCCCGAGTTTTAGAGAGCCACATAGGATTTAATTTTCTTAGCGCGTCATGTAGGATTATAAATTTTAGTGGTAGCCAATTAAATAAGAGATTATTAATTTCTTATAGAGTTAAATAGTTCAAATGCCTAGTAAGCAAAATTGACGAATGATATTTTTAACTTTAAATTAATTAAATATAAAATATTATTTTTTGATATTATCTAAATATGTAACAGATTTTAGCACATATATAAAAAAAAAAAATTTTAAAAAAAATCAAACAAACGTGCATCGCAAGAGTTTAAATGTAGTTAATTTTAAAATTGACGCAAATAGGAAATTATTTTATCTTTAAGCAATTTCGAGGGAAATCGTTGGTTTGTTGATTCCGAAACATAAGCCAAAAAATAGGTGGCTGCGCTTAAACCATTATGGCGGGCATGCTAAATGCCAAATTAAACACAACAAATCTACCTCTAATTAGCAAGGTAGGTTTCAGCTTCTTAAGTGTTTCATCACTTTCATGGAATTCAAATCTTTTGTTGTACTCAGTCTTTCATCGAATAATCAAACTTTCTGACACATCACGTGACTAGTACGTGAACATGAAGTAACATTACATGCTTTTTGACTTAATTAATTAACACATTAATTTAGATTAGAAGCTAATTTAAGGAACGTTAAAGTAAGAGCACCCTATTCGATCGTAAATCAAGGCAGAACTAAACCCAAGCCTAGACTTAACTAGATCAAATTGCAGTAAATTATCCTCAATTTGAAACCCTCGTATAATAATTGATGACTTTGGCTTCTTTCCACCATCCACAATACCAAGACAATCCGCCTTATTCATATTCGTCCGAACCATCAAGTTTGGAGCGGCTATCGTCCATAACACGTCCTCGTTTTGTAGCACCAGATCGATGTCTGGCACCACTGGCCCGATCCTCGTGGAGGGGATCGAGCCAGCTTCGTAACACACCTCAAATGGTGCAATGGGAGCAACTCTTTTTAGAGGAAAACTGCCGTCCCTTAGTTGATTGTCGAAGGCAGTAGTGACAGCCTTGAATATAGATGTCTCCATTACAGTGGAAAAATGCTTGAATAGTGGATTGAAAATCTATTATAGAATATAGATTAGTAGATAACTACTGCTAGAGTGCTAGTTTATAGAATTAGAGAGGCACCTTATAGTTGACTTTATTAATTGTTTTCTAGGAAACATGAACATGCTACATGCATGGAAAACGGAAGTAAGTTGGCACTTGCAAGCAAGAGCTGTGAGAACTCCAAATTTAGCTCTATTACTACTCCCTCCGTCCCCGAAATTTCGACCCTTATGGCATAATTTTAGTCCCAAAATGTTCATCCCATTTGCATTTTAATATCCTTTAATTTGCAATAATATTTGTGCAAAATTAGCTTCCCCATGCAAATTTTGCTTTTTCTATATACTTTTATTACTTTTTCTCTCTACTTTTTTGCAATTCCAATGTAAATTTTCCTTTTCAATGTACTTTTCTTAGTTTCCCCATACACTCTTACACTTTCAATTTAACTTCTTAATACCCGCGAAATCAACCCAAAAGGGTCGAAGTTTCGGGAACGGAGGAAGTAGTATTTTATTTGGATTTTGCAGTTTGTAGATCCGTATATCTTCTGAGGTCATTGATTGTACAGAATATATCATCACTATTCCTATCCGATTGATAGAATATAATACTTGGTAATTACTTTTGGGATTCAAACATTAGTTTAACTAGATTAGTGCCTGTGTGATGTACGGTTGTACTAATCTTTTTTCCATAATTAATTGTGATATAATATAAAAATGAGGTAACTGATGTAGAATAAACAAATGCAATGCATATAGAAAAATTAAATAATAAGGCAAAAATTATTAAAACTACAATTGAGAGAAAAAATTAGTTAATTAGTTGTGTTGAAAATATTTAAAAGTAGTATACATTATATTATATCAATGATGCATATTATTCTCAAAAAAAATATACAATCTAGTGACTCTATGAATAACGACTTATTTATAAATGCCATTTAATAAACCTGGAAATATTATTAAAAAATAGAATAAAATCTATAGTAAAACTATTAGCACAACATACATGTAAATATATAAATTATAAATAATATATCACCTTTAATTTATATCCAATAAAATAATTTCAATGCAAATAAATACTACTCGGATCATTAAAGGCAATAATAATCAACAATTAGGCAACACTAACCTATATTATTAATAGTACATTTTTGTTTATGAATTGATACTCTAAATGATATTTTCGCTCTTTGGTTTACATAAAAATGTGTTTGAAGCTATCCAATCATTGTAGTTTGATCAGTGTTTGTTTATTATCTTACAAGTGTATTTGTAGATGATAGTTATTTATCGAAAAAAGGATGCACAAGAAGATGTCACTTGTCACTATATCCGACGTGTCTTTTACTATACATCTTATTTATAATGTTGAATGCAATAAATTTATTATCTCAATCACATGTTTCAACAAAAGATAATAATTTTTTTTTGTATTTACTAAGATATTAATTTATTTAATTACGTAATAACAAAAAAAATTGATTGATATTTCACATTTTTCAAGAATTAAATTTATGATATAGTTGTCGAACACAACATTTATTATATAGTCATATGTAATAATAATTGTGCTTGATATTCATGATTCAATCCTATTATTATTGATTTTTGTTATTATGTTATCATATAAGGTCCTATTCACTTCACCTTAAAAAAAAAAATATTCAGCAAAAATAATTTCAATTCAGTAAAAATAAGTTCAATTCGATAAAAATAATTTCAGTTCAGTAAAAATTAGTAACTTTAAAGAAGAAATACAACATAGATCAGTAAAAATAATTTTAGTTTAGCAAAAAATGATATCAGTGCAGTAAAATTAATGTCAATTCAGTAAAAATAATTTAAGTTCGGCAAAAATAATTTCAGTTCAGTAAAAATAATTTTAGTTTAGCAAAAATAAGGTGAAATGAACGGGGCCTAATAATATAATTTTGTTTGCTATTAAAGACACATGTTAAGAAATAGTTTGATTAATAGTTAAGTTTCTGTCAATAGACATGGAGATTAAGACTTCAAATCTTGTATAAATTTTAAACTTCTTAATGTGTAATAAATTAATAATACATGGAGTAATAGCTAATAAAGAAAGTCAAGAGAGTGTCACGTGAACTTGATTTAAAATGTCTTTTACTATATAGTATAGATATATACGAAGTGAACCATATTTCATGTTTGAGATTTTAATTTACAAAATCCAACTCATCGTCATGGCTCCTAAACTTTATTTGAGTTTTTCTCTCTTCTTAAATTTCGTATAAAGTGAACCTTAAATCATGTTTGAGATTTTACAAAATCCAAATGAGTTTTGAGTGTTTAATTTACGATTACGGGTCGTTTTGATTCTTGTTTACTATAAGGATGGACAGATGGCACCTTATATTTTACTTGAGGTACAAACTTTGTTTTGAAGTCTTATCAATGGGTCGGTTTGAATTCATTTGACCTACCATTTTACTTGAATCCATATAGCAGCGAGATGATTGCAATTTTTCAAAGGCTATTTGGATTGGGATTAAGTTGGACTTACAAAGTTATTCATAATTGATAATCCAACGTGATGAAATATTCAAATTATAGTTTTAATGGGGCGTTTAAAATGTGGAATGGGAGTTTGAAGATTAAGAATTTATTATGTTCACCTTATTTTCACTTCATGTTTAATAAGTTTTAATAAGTTAAGTTAAGTTCTAATAAGTTTAGTTCAAGAAAAATAAATTATAGTAAGGGTTGCCCAAGTTCAAATTACAGCTAAAATAAGTTCAAATAAGTTAAGTTAAGTTAAGTTTTGATAAGTTCAGATAAGTGAAAATCAAGGAAATAAAACACACCCTAAAAGGTGAGAATGAGATTAGGAATTAATTGTTGAGAATACATGAAAATATGTCAATACCTTGTTTTGACAATGAGTGGGAATATATAGGAAATAAATAAAAAAAATTTATAAAATACCCTTACTAACATTTTTTTTTCCATTTTTTTCATCAATAGCAAAATTGTCACTATGTACTTATTTCCATTCCCAACCATTTATTATCAAATTGGTTGCAATTCACTTCCAAATATTCTTATTCTTAAACCTCTTGTTATTTCCATTCTAGCATTCCCACCAAACAAACAAGACTTTTTTTTTTTTTGGTTTAATTGGATTAAAACTCTCAATCCCACCCTCAATTCCCACACACCAAACACCTCCCTACGAAAACTACCACGGCCGTTCACACCATAGTAAATTAGTAACACGGCAGTGCGCGGCGGCAATGTACACCATCAACGGAGATAAATAACCAAACCAAACCCCACCCATCAAAAAAACAAATAAAAATGAGCTCCAAACCCGAACCCATCCTCTACTCCTCTCTACCATCCGACCCAAATTCCCAACCAACTACCGTCCAAAACTACGTCGTTTTACCCATCTACCATCCCACGCGCCACCGCTTCCTCCGCCACCTCCGGCGCAACCTCCTCTCTTTCTCTCTCCTCCTCCTCCTCATCCTCGCCGTCTTCCTCCTCTTCCCTTCCGACCCCCAACTCCGACTCGTCCGACTCAAACTCAACCACATCCGAGTCAACTCAGATCATCATCTCTCTCTCGACCTTTCTCTCTCTCTTACTCTCAAAGTTCGCAACCCTGATTTCTTCTCTGTCAATTACGACGCTTTGAATGTCTCGATTTCGTATCGCGGGAGGGAATTAGGGTTTGTGAACTCTGATGGTGGGAGGATTAAAGCGCGAGGATCGTCGTATGTTGATGCCACGCTTTTGGTTGATGGATTTGAGGTTTTTCATGATTTGTTTTATTTGATTGAAGATGTTGCTGCTGGTAAAGTTCCATTTGATACTATTTCTACTATTAAAGGGAGATTTGGACTCTTTTTCCTCAAAATTCCAATTGAGGTATGATTTTAATTTGTGCATTTGATTTGGTTGAGTTTAGTGTTTATATGTAAGTGGAATTTGATGAATTGAAGCTAAGTAGATGTTATGTTTTTGTTGATTAAGCTGGATTTTGTTTTAATAAGGCAAATTTTGTGTGTGCAATTGTTGATTTTTTTTTTTCTTTTTTTTGTTTATATTGACTGGAAATGAAATTGGAATTTTGGAGTTAAGTGTGGCGGTTGTTTTTATCTGATTTTCAATTTCTGTCTAGAATGATAGTGAAATCGGCTGAATATCGGAATTCAGGACAAAATTACGCGTTGGATTGGTGTGTTCATGTTCATGTTCATGTAATGCTTAATGTTTCTGTTTCTGTTTCTGCTTAATGAGGATTTGAACTGAGCTTTTAACAATGTGACAAAAGTTGCAATTGCAAATTTGCAATAGTGATCTTATATATAATAGGACTATTTGGTGATTATTATTGTTAGTGTTGATCATTAGCAATTTAGAGGTATCGGCATTTCCCAATTATGATTTTGGGTTAAGGTAACTTAGAAAGTGTGGCAAGTTTGTGGATTGTGAATACTTAGATTAAAGCGGTATACTACTTGCTCATTAGCATTGCTAAATGGTTGGTATTTTTGCAAGATAAAATATCATTTACATTGTGGAGGCTAAAGTTACTACTTGTGTTTGCCAGTGCGATACTTGGAAAAGATCAATGACCAGTTGCGGCTATTGCTTCTGCTTCCATTGTTGTTTGCATAACTGGTCATGTTGGATGCATTTATTATACCACTTATATGGTTTTAAAGCTTGTGTTGTGGGCTGTGGGGAGACTGGAGAGTAAGACATTTGAGTACTGAGTGAAGATACAAATGCTCTGGACCATGATAAACTGGTGCCATTGCCTTTATTGTGAGAGAAGCAAAAAATGCTATAAATGGTGTTGTTTTTGTTGCTGAACCCTCTTTGTAATAGAGTTCGTGTAAAAGATAGGTGTTGATTCAAGGGTTTTTTTCACTGTTTTCTAGGTTTCTCTTCAATTTTTTGGATCACAAGGTGTCTAGGTTCTGACTATTAGATTTCATTTAGAGTTGCACGAGTAGTGCAGGCTGTAGTGATGTTTCTTTCTCAAGTTGTCATGCATGGTGTGCCTTCATGGATTGTCATTGAATAGTGTAAAGTTTGCTTCTATGTTGTTTCAGCTGTTGTTCCTGTTTCTATACTTCTATTAGTTCTATACAAGTTTTTATTAGCTATCCTTTTATTTTGTTTCGTCATGCAATTTTTTCAAGCATAGGAAGATAGAGAGTTGGGAATAAGATCCATCCCTAATCATGTAAGGTATAAGTGTATAACCCACAGTGCACCTATAGTGTAGAGACCATTACTTGAACCTATTAGTTGAGTGTCATGAGTTGGTCATCTAAGCAGTGACTGTTGTTACACCCTAATGTGACGGAGAACCCTTAAGCCTGTTGACCTCATGAAAAATATACGCTTATCAGGTTGTCCTAGTCATCTTAATCGTCAAAATATACTATGATACATTTCACATGGAATTATATTACTCCTGTAAATGAAAGCATGCATGGGAATAGTTCTGTTTGCAATTTGGTCACCCAATGACTCCTCATAGAAGCATAATGATGGATTAGGGGGATTTGTCTTTCAACTATTCAATCATATATCTATGTACTTTGAGATTGTTGCATTTAGGTACTTTTGAGATTAAACATCAAGCCATCAAATACTACATGAGCGCCGTCTGTTTCAAAGCTAATCTAACTCTAAGCTATAAAATAGGCGAAAATCTCACTGGATTACAGGACGCTCTGTCGAAAGTTATTTATGTTTTCATCTACTAGAGTGGGTCTTTTAGGATATAATTAGCAAAGTAGTAGGTTTTTTTTTTTTTTTTTGAAGCCTGTTGTATAATATTGATCTAAAAATTGCCTGGATCCATTGCATTTTAATATTAGATATGAGCCACGGAAGTTAACATTAAGACTTCTACAACCCATATTAAGATAATGGTGTTTTCCTGAGTTGATTCTCATTTTCTTTTTTGTTGTCATTGTTGTGCTGTATTCAGTTTCGTTTTTCCTTTGGCTGTGATTATGCTCTGATCTCTGTTTTTAACATTTCAGACTAAAGTGTCATGTGAGGTAGACGTAAATCCAAAAGATCAGACAATCGTTCATCAAAATTGCTATCCTGAGGTAAGTTACTGAGCTACTTGTGTTTATATACTCTTTTGTAACAGTACACGACATCTTTTGTCACCTATATTTGAAACTTCCTCGCTTTTTTCTTCATTCAATTCCACATTTCCTTTTTGATCTGACATTGCTCAGCCTTGTCTAGTTATGAGCGGATATGAGTTAGGTGTGTCAGACTTTAGTAGTACATACTAAGTGATACATGTTTGGTTAGATGATGAACTTTTTGGATTTTATATTATATGGTAGTATGATGTGAGGTGTAATCTTTTCCAACAACCATGAAGGCAATCCGTTGAGATCGGTTTCATTGATAGTGAGTTTGCCCATTCAGTTGATGGCATGATATGGTAGAAGTTATATTCTCCAAAGTTGGAAGGCCCTGAGCCTCTTGCTGATATAAGAACTTGAGAAGCCTTCTTTAATTGGAGGTTATGTTTACATGATTACTCAACCTGTACATCATATTTTACTCTTTTTCCTTCTCCTAGCTTCTGAAGAATTTGCTGATTTGTTGTTAATCTCTATCTGAAGAATATAGACTTAGGTTTTTATGTTCATTTTAAGTTACTTAGCTGGCTCACACGAAGTATATGTAAAGAAAGGGAATTCTACTTCTTATTGATATTTAATGGTTTTGTTAGTTGCTTACAAAGGGATATTTTTGCCCCCGTTCATTTCACCTTATTTTTGCTGAACTAAAATTATTTTTGCTGAACTGAAATTAATTTTATTGAACTGAAATTATTTTTGCCGAACTGGAATTATTTTTACTGATTTTCTATTATACTTCTTGTTTAAAGTTATTGAATTTTATTGTACTGAACTTAAATTACTTTTACTTAATAGAATTTTTTTTAAGGTGAAGTGAACAGGGTCTAAATATATAGCGTAGTATTATACATAAACATATAGTAGTAGTCATGTAATTGTTGATGAACATCTTTCATCTGGCGAAATTTCTCTAAGAATTTGGATGCCTAGAAGTGATATAATATTGCTCTTTCATTCTCTCCTTCTGATCACCAAGCTGTGGTTATTTTGGGGTTGAGTTTCAGTGGTTTAGAAATTAGATCTAGAAGATAGAGACAGGCAACAGAGCCAAAGAAGTGTTTCTACTGTTGTGTTCTTCTTTACGTGCTTTTAATTTACACAACACACAAGAAATGTTCCTCCCTTAACGGTTTATTACATGTTCAGTGACTTAGGTGGTTATACAAGAAGCTGCTATTATTCAATCAGTAGTGGAGATACTTCTTGCTCGATAGTCTGGAGGTGTAAATTTCAGAAGCCTAATCTATGTGAGTCGCAGGATCTGCATATCGTGTGGAAATTTATGTACATTATAATGATTATTATTGTACAGGGGTTATGTACATTATTTCGAAGTCAATATTATTCCTTATAACATCTTACTCGATCATTCACATTGAGAAATCTACATGCTCTGTATACGACATCTGATTGTATGTATCACCACAGTATCTCCGTATGCAGCTCTGTTTGCTGGACTGCAATGAATGGGGAATGTCATAAACCAAAAAATCCTTTTCGTTCTATTTAAATCGCAACATTGTCCATGCTTGTTTTAAGTAGTGGAGAGTGAAAGAGGGATAAAAAGTGGATGATCATTCAATTACTCCTTCCATCCCTATTTACTTTGCACATTTTCCAACTATGTCCAATAATCGGTCACTAAACCGCTGCCGTAGGTTAATGATTTAGTCTTACCCTACTAAACTGTCACTGTCTTCTTATGCCAAAATCTTCAATTAATAAAGGCACTCTGTTAGAGGCTGAGATCAAAGTTGTCTTTTACCTAACAGCCATCTCTTTACAATTCTGCCGAACTCAGGCAAATGGATATTTTAGCAGGTCTATTAATGTCGGCTAGGTTATAGTTATCCACACTGAAATGTTTGCAGAAACTAGGTAGTTGTGTACATGTGTTTCTTAACCATTTATTAATTACAATTTACAAGCATGCAATTTAAAATGACTACATAATACTATGACTAATTTATTTTGTTTCCTTGTGACTTTGTACATTCTTTGATAGTTGCTATCTTCATGCACATACAATCATACAGCTGATCAAGTATGGCGTATGGCCTAGGCTTGCCCAATTCGAGCCGAGATTGTGCCGCCACTTTCTGGTCAGAATGGACCGCTGTTGGCGGCAGCTTGGATCAATTGGGCCCATGATTATTAGCTCTGATACGAACTAAATTTGTAACAGAAGTGTGATTTCAAAGCTTTTGTTGCAATCAAAATAAAAACACTATATCTTGATCACAAAGAACATACAATTGCACAAGTCATCTTAGGACTAAGCTTTAGCTTCCTTAATACTGAAATCTAGGACTAAGCTTCATGCTACACCACACATAATCTGCATGATGATACCGACAACGAAAAGAACCTGGGTGCCTTGTTGGTGAGCACAGACAAACCTTTCTTTCCCCACCTCCACCACCTGCCGCAGCATCTCCCTCTCCTTGCTGTGGATTATTTACAGTAGGTTCCTCCACCAGGGGCGGTGCACGGAAGATGTACCTTCGAGTAATCCTCATCGTCGCCAGCCCCTCAAGGCTGTGGAAAGGGAACCCTGCTTTTTGGCACATGATAATACCTTGCTCCTGATCTTCTAGTTTGTATGTTTTGTGAGTTGTAGAATTTCTTTATTTGCAAGGGAATATGTTCTCTTTGGTGTTGTTGGTATGTATATAACGCACTCCTAAGGTAAGAAAGTAGAGTGGGTTAAGGAAAAGTTGGGTATAAAAAGGAAGAAAGTGGGGCTTAAAATTGATTCTAGGAAGAAAAGGATTGCTTTATAATAGGGGCCGAGTTACTTTATGCTTCCATGATGTGTACATTTTCTCTTGATTGTTCTCGTGCGCACATTAGAGAGGATGACTGAGAATCTTGTCATTCACTTCACTTATTAGAGCGCCTAGTAAAGATAAAACAAGCCCCCTCAATCGTTTGTTAAATTTTATCCTAACTTTTGGCTAAGACTTGAGTCTTGATTCACTTGAGGAGCCTTTAACGGCAATTATAGGTGTCGTTGACACGTTTGATAAGCGGTCATAATTTGTGAGAATGGTAATAAATTTGTAAATGATTGTCATAATTTTGTCAAAACTCAATTTCACATGTGTTTTTACTCATAAAATTTCATTACCTCACAATACCACCTTTAAATAGGTAATGAATGATAATGAAAATTTGTTAAATGTTTGTGCTACATTATACAACATGTAGTCCTCGAGATCAAGTTCAATGTTAACAATCTTTTCGATTGTACATAACCAATAAAATTTTAGATTGTTGGTTAAGATTAAGTTTCGTATCACATCAAGTTTCGTTATTTCAAGTTAACCTTCCTCCAAATTTATATGGTGTGCTTGTGGTGTTGTGTGCTGGTGTATGTATTCTTCACTAAATTATATATGTCGCGTGACCATCACATGTTAACTATTTGAAAGACTCCAAAAGCTGTAATACCCCAAACACATGTAATAGTTTGATTCCAGCGTTAAATATTATACCTTCAAATAAGATCATATATTTCAAATAAGATTTAGCTTAAAAAGTTATACGACTTATATACTTTGTAATATATATCCTTCCATGTGGATAATTGTTTCATCTTTTTTAAAGCTTTTCACACGATAAATATTATTATGACTAAAAAAGTTTTAACTTTTCATTAGAATGTTAGCTAAATTTCCTGAACTTAATTAGAGTGCTAGAATCTCTTTACTCGCAACTCACAATAAATTAAAACTGTTTCAGAAGTAGTGGGCATAGCATTCATCAGGTTCTTTTTATGTTTATGCCAAAGTTGTATCAATATCCTTTATATTTGTTTTCTTTCCTTAAACACTAAGTGACCTTAATTAAGACATGAAAATTAGAATATTTTTCTCAAATTATTTAAATTATTATCTCCACGTTCCTAATCAAAGCAAATATCTTAACTATATAGTATAACTTTAATACACCCCACAAACTTGCAACAAATGTCTACGCCGTGTGTGGGTTAGACAGAATACTGTTGAACTTTTAAAGATGTAATTATATGGGCTTATATAAGCAAGGATACCTTGCCTAGCAAGAAAGCTACAAACACCTGCATTAATTTTTTTTGGTGTTTAGAGAACTATAAAGACAGGTGATGAGAATCGATCCCAAGATCTCTTGAAACCGTAGAGGGGAGCTGTAACCACTTGAGCTATCCCTCACTCTCAATCACCTGGCCTGCATTATTGGATACAAATTGCAAGAATATAAATTAAAAACATTGAACTAACACAATTCTCATTTTCAATTCTAAACAAGCTAAAAGTTAGTATTGTAAGGGCTCATTCGGGATCACTATTATTAGGCATTAGTTGTCTACTTTTGGTTCAGAATTATAGAAGTTATTACAAAATTTATATATAGCGTACAATGAACTTAAAATTACTCATACATTTATTAATTTAATATGTTACATTTTGTGAAACTCCTCAAATTGGAGTGTTTTCCATTGATCTCAATATATAGGGTTACAATCATAAGTCCTAATTACCTTAGGAATCTCAAAAGATATTTATATAATATTCCACAAAATATATCCTACTATAACAGAATATCTAGAATATTTATCCTATATTCTATCAGAATAGAACACACCCTTACACGCACCAAGTATATATATACGAACTAGTGGAATACTTAAACGAACTCTTCAGTTTTCCCTGAGTTTTGGACCTCTGAGGCTATATGACCACATGATCGATCGAGTGTTGATGAAGTGTTCTATCAGTCCACCATTGAGCTTTGAGCTACAAACCTATGAGGCTATGGCCACATGATCGATCAAGTGTTGATGAAGTGTTGTACCAGTCCACCATTGAGCTTTGAGCTACAACTTTTTACTCGCTAAGCTAGAATGTACATGATATGCAAATTGGTACTTTGATGGAGCCAACAGAACTAATTAAGAAAGAATATGTTCTAAACTTTGCATCTTTGAATTTGTTGATGAAAGTAAGTTACCGCGTACACCTAGAAAGTAAAGTGACTTGGCTGTTTGGTTAAGCGAGTAAATTGGTCGTCTTGCATTTCTACGAGTGTGCAGTGTGCTAATGTTAAAGTGTAATGTCCAATCTTCAGTAAAATTATTGGGGCAAAGGACCACCAAAGTCGAATCCCCATTTACATCGAATTAGGAAGCTTTTACTGATGAATTACTTTCTGGAAACTTTTTTACTTAATATGTTTCTTTTATCACGCTTGTCAATGTAAAACTTTAACGATCAATAACTTTAATTTTTCATAAGTAAAAATCATAAAAGTTATATATTATGATAGTACTTATTGAGATAAATTTAAAAAATCTCATATGAATATATTTTTCCTTATATATTATTCACAAAAAACGGTCAAATAAAGGGTGGTAAATAGTATAAAAGTCAAAACGGGTCAAATAAAAAAAAATTAAAAAAAAAAAAGGAGTAAGTACGTACCAACTACTATTGAAATTATTTTTGATTCAGTATTTTAGTGTATAAATAAACACAAAAGGTCGAAAATTGAGTTGGAATTGAACATTTAAATATGAGACACAACCTTAATGAAAGAAATATTTATCATTCAAATCAAAAGTATTAAATTCATTTTTTTTAAAAATGCATAAATGAAGAGAGTAATATACGGCAATAATGTAGAATCGTAGACGGATCATTACTTAATAAGCCAACAATATAATCATATCATTATGCAAATATCCAGGCCAAATGGCTTAGGAAATCTAACTTGCATGATTGCACCAATAGTACAACAGAGAATAATGGTGGTTTTGTTTGATTAAAATAAAATGGAACAGCAGAATATATTTCTAGCTAGGATCTTAGTTGTCTTTTGCCAGAGTAATTGCGATGGCATGCACATAAGAAAAGCTAGAGGAGAGACAAGTTGACTTTGATCTTGTTTACGTATATAGTACTGCAATAAAACCACATATTAAACATAATACGAGTATTTATTGATTGCTCATAAATTAGGTTAAAATCTTGTGCTAAAAAACTGTTCTTGTTCTATTTTACATGACCTTTGATCATAAATATGGAGTATTTTAATTTTGTACTAGTGAAAAAAAAAAAAAAAAAAAAAAAAGTTTTGAAAATATATTCAAAACTAATCTAAATAAAATTTCACGTGATAATGTGCCTATCGTACATATGTATTATGTATAAATTAATATTTTTGGTCAAGGATTTTTTTAACATTGACTCTATGAATATATCACATTAAGGTTGAACATACAAAGAAATAAAAAAAAAAAATAAAAAAAAAAAAAAGAATAGTATTTTTCTTCAAATGTTTTGTTATTATCCTTGGTCAAACTTTATAAAGTCAATATAAATTTACATCTTATTATAAATTTATAATTGTTATCTCTGTTTCTCGAAATTTTTAACTTTAACATTTGGCACTATCACACAAAATCACTGTGAACCCTCTTTGCAATTTGTACGTAAGAACATACCACATAAGTATTCATGTGGGGTTTATTATTGGGATTTGTTAAACATCGCCCACAAATTACTACATAAAGCCCACAAAATTATTATTGGGATTATTATTGGGATTTGTCAATTTTCTCTGAAAACAAAAATTTCACTCACCGTAAAATGTGGAGTCGTACGGGGACGCCGGGGGAGGCCGGAGATCCGGGGGACGACGAATGTCATCGGAAAAGACGGCTGGCGTCCGGAGGAGCCGCCACCACCGTGGCACCGGCGCCTGGCCGGGACGCCGCCACCATGGCGGTGGCGCCTAGCCAGGACGCCTGTACCATGGTTGAGGCTTCCAGGCCAGGCGCCATGACATTGGTACTGGCGTCCCGGCTAGGCGCCACCACCATGGTGGCGGCATCCCGGCCAGGCGCCGGTTCCATGGTGGTGGTCCGGCCAATTTTTTTTTTTGGTTTTTTTTTTTTGGTTTTTTTTTTTTTTTTTTTACATTTGACTTGCTTAAAATTCAAAATAAAAAATTTTCTCAGTTACCAACAAAAAAAAAACAAAATATTAAAAAAAAAATAAAAAAAAATTCTCAATTTCCAACAAAAAAAAAATACAATATTACACAAAAAAAAAAAAGAAAACAAAAATTTGTCAATTTCCAACAAAAAAAAACATGATATTACACAAAAATAGAAAAAAAATCTCAATTTCCAACAAAAAAAAATATTATACAAAAAAAAAAAATAAAAAATAACAAAACAGGCTGGTGGTGGGGCGCCTGGCCAGGACGGTCGATGGCTGGTGGTGGCGCCAGGTCCGGCAGCCACGTCCACCGGCCTAGCGTCTGGGCAGGACGCCCAGCCACAGTGACTGGCGCCTGTCCCAAACGCCACTTACCGTGGCTGGGCGTCCAGCCCAGACGCCAGGCCGGTGGACGTGGCTGCCGGACCTGGCGCCACCACCACCTTGCCGCCACGAGCCAACCCTCCCTCCTCCGCAGCCGCTGCCAACTCTTTGCCTTGCCGCCTTGACATCCCCGTACTTTGATTTTTTTTAAGGTCATGGGCAATATTGTAACTTCAATATAAGTTTGCGTGCTTTATGTGGAGATTTGCGGGCGATGTTTAGCAATCCACTTATTATTATATTCATATCATTATAAATCTTTGGTATAAATCAACATACTTTCTTTTCTTTTCTTTTTTTTTTCTTTTTCTTTTTTTTTTTTTTTTCTTTCTTTTTTACATTGGCAACTTTAAAAAGTTTTACAACTTGAAAAAAGAAAAAAAAAATTGTTAGTATTTGATAAAGTTGGTACATATATAATGATCATTATACCTTTTGATTTTGCTAACTAACTTTTGATACGATCAAACCATTTCTTAGACTACAAAGTATTTCAATTAGAAAATGGCAATTAGCGCGTGGGATACCTCTAAGGTTCATTGGCTCTTTGACAATATTACAGTTTCGCGTATTTTGTCTGTTGATCGCCCACTGATGGATGATTTCGTTTACTGGAAGTTTACTCGTGATGGTCAGTATTCCACTAAATCGGCTTATGCAACGCTGATTCGCCAGTCTATGGTGTCGATGCCCAATGATCCGATTGCGGCTTCGTGGTGGAAGCGTTTTTGGGGAATGCCGATTATGTCTAAGTTAAGGATGTTTTGCTGGAAACTGCTTCATGATGCTTTACCTCTTTCTGCTACTTTGCATTCCCGGGGTCTTCCAGTAAATCCTGTCTGTGTCCTTCGTCGTGCTCACTTGGAGACGACTTCGCGTCTATTTCAGGATAGTTTGGTTATTTCTCATCTCTTGACCACTGGTCCCGTAGCCCTCCAACGTACTTCTTTGTCTGTACACTCGTTTCCTCAGTGGTTCGCAGAGCTGGTCTCTGCTTATGGAAATTTTCAAAATTGACATAGTCTAGCCATTGTGGTCTCTCTTTTGTGGGCAATTTGGCTTACTCGTAATCAACTTATTTTTAAACAAGCGGTCTGGTCTCCTGCTTTGGTTCTTCATATTTCTGAGGAGTGGACATTGCGTTGTTTGGAAGCTACCAAGCTCTCTACCTCTGTTTCTTCTTCTCGACAACGTCAGTCTCCTTGTCCTTCCCCTGTTACATTTGGGTGTTTATATGGTTCGTTTTCAGGTCTCGCAGATTGTTGTATTGTCCTTAATGGTGCTTGGAATGGTCGCGATCATACTGCAGGCGCAGGTTGGATTTTCAGGGAGAAGTTTTCCCCTATTGTTTTGGGTGGTGGTGCTTGTGCCTGTCGAACTTCATCAGCTTTACAGTCGAAATTCCGGGCTTGCTTCTGGGCTCTTCAGGCTGCTAGGCGAAAGGGTTTCTTGTGTCCCTTACTCTACATGGACAGCACAGTTCTGAATTCCATGCTATGTCGTTCCTGCTCGGATGATATTTCTTGTGTTTGGCTATTAGGGGCTATCAGAGACATTCTATTACAATTCGATTCCTGTTGGATTCGTAAGGTCCCTCGTCTCTAGGTTGCTCCTGCTCACTGGTTGGTTGTTTGTGCTCGTCAACGTCGTTTACTTTTCTAGTCCTTTTAATTGTTGTTTAGTTATGTTTTTTTAGCTTCCTCAGTCGTCTTGTGTTTTCTTGTTTTAGTTAGTTCTTTAGCATGTTCTGTTATTTTGTTAAATAAACTCTTTGTCCAAAAAAAAAAAAAAAAAAAAAAACAAAAACAAAAAATTGGCAATTAGGCAAATAAGTATATTAAAAATATTACGATGATGATTCCCTTTGAATGTTTTGTAATATTACAAAGTACATTAGCCTAAACCCTAAAGCAACTACAGCAAGGAAGTCTCATCATGAACAATTGACAATAATTACATAAATTAGTACTAATATTTGGTAACCATCAACTCGTCATGTGCAAGAATTTTAAATCCTATATTAAAAGTACTTTGGTTGATTGATCTACAATTATTCAATTCTTGACCACAATTTATTTTTGGTTGTAATCAATAATGTTTGTAATATTATACTTGTATATGTTCTTAAATTAGTATAAGTCACATCTTCTAACGTAATTAAGCTTAGCAAATGAATGGCTGCTTACGCATATGATAATCTAATAATGTAACGACCAACGTTTGTTGACATATATATATTTATTTATTTATTGAGACGAATTAAATAAGATTACATAAAATTACATAGATTTTAAATTTTTTTTCATGAGTATTTACGCAAGATTGGATCAACTAAATAGAAATGTAACGGTGTAAGACTCCTCTCCTCTCGTAATCCTAGCAGATTACAGATAGATTCAAGTATAAAAGATAATTTGGGATTGTATTCCAAGATCTCCAGCTTTTATAAGTAGTTGATTATGTACAAAACAACAATGTACACATGGTGCAGGATAACTTTGGTCCCCTTACATTTCATATTTTTTAAAAAAAATTCCCTCTTTTTTCAAGTCTTTTGTGGTCAAGTGCTCAAGTCCTACTCATATCCATGAAAAAATCAAGCTAGGTGCTAAAATTCATTTTTAAAAATACATACCTGTATAGTAACATATGGACTAGAAATTATGATTGCAATAAAATAAGATATTTTATCTGCTTTCTAGGCAATAGCTTAGGGAAGCAAAACAAATGGGTCAATAAATTGAATTTATAAATCTTGCATCATTGCCTTAATTTGTTTCATATACAAAAAACTCATATACATATGAAAAAAGAATTTGATAAAGTTGTATTGAATTATATACTACTTGTTAGACGTGTAGATGTCAAGGTTAACTTATTTGGTAAAGCTAGTCCTAATTGTGATATAATCCTCTATACATAGTATTTCAAAAAAAAAAAAAAAAAAAAAAAAAAAAAAAAAAAAAAAAAAAAAAAAAAAAAAAAACTAAACTACAATACTACTTCGTATTAGAAATCAAATTTGATTAAAGTCTTAACATCATTATTCATTACTCATGATAAAGGATTTATATAATTACGTAGTGATGGTGAAAAAAACACAATCATGTTGTAGTTGTCTCATCATCTCTTTCTTTTCTTCTTTAATTTCTTCTAGTAAGGATGATGTGCACTAATTAAGGATTTACATAGTGTCGGTGAAGAAAGCACGATCATTAATGAAATACTCCGTACAATCTATGAAAAGCGACAGATTTCCCCAAACTTCCTTCAAAAGTTCAAAGTCCCATTACTATAACACTCATAATAATCCAAGTAAAACTAAAAAAAAAACTTGAAAAATAAAACTTCTAGAAAAACATTGTACACCCAAATTTAAAAATCGATTACAAAATGTGAAACAAGAAATTAATTACGTAGGTTCCTTAGTAAACCCAAATAATTCAGAGCTGCCACATATACGAGATATTCCGGTCCAAGTCAACTAGCCGCCTACTAATACAATTCCTTCGAGTCACCAGTCAAATAATTTGCACTACTACAAAAAAAAAAAAAGAAAAAAAAAGAGAAAAAAAAAAGGTAAATATAATAAAAACTATAAATATAATTTGATCGTATAAAAATTTGTACACACAAAAAAATATTCAACGCGTTCCTTCCACCCTACTCTCCTCTCATATAAAGGAACTTCCAGATTCAATTTACTGCCCCTAAAAAACTTATATATATACACCTTACAATCATAAACGCTTCATAATATATTTTCATTCATTCTTTTAATTTACACCAAACAAAGAATTTTATTCACCCCAAATCAAATTACATTTTCATAGAAAAATTAAAACTTTGGAATATATCAACATGAATTCTAACGGTTCATCAATGAAGTTTTACGCATTGCCTATTTTTGGGTTTTTGATGATGGCTTTTTTTAAGGTTGCTCAAGGCCAGATGATGGCTCCTTCCCCTGCTACCGCTCCTCCTCCTTCTAACGACAGTAAGTCCTTTCTCTCTTTTCAATTCGACTAGAACCCGAACTCAACCCAATTTAGGTCTAATTTAATTGAGATTGTATGGGTGATGCCGGGTTTTTATTTTATTTTATTTTAGTTAATTTTTAATGACCGAGTGTGAGAGATAAAATCTTGATTTATGTAGCCGGCCCTAACATTGGAATTAAATTTTCGAGTTTGTTGGTGTAATTTTATTTACTGGGGGGATATATATTTTTGTGCAGGTGCTACTATTGATCAAGGGATTGCATACGTTCTATTGGCGGTTGCGCTTGCTGTTACTTACCTCTTTCACTAATTTATTATGGTGATTTTAGACTTTATTATGAGTAATTATAGGTGATAATATTAGAATTTTGATTAATTAATATGATATATATAGTTTGATCAATTCTTTAGCTACTTTTTATTTTTCTCCCAGGATATCCAAGGGTGAAGAAAAAATTGTAGTGTTTTTTGTATTCTTTATTATGGTAGTAAATAAATAAAATTACTGTTTCTGTTTTTTTCATGAATTCTATTCGGCATTTGTTATATTTCAATGCTCATATCTACAAGTGGTAGTAGAACATACCATACCTTTTTAACTTTTTTTTTTACCAAATTTACTATTTACAACTTGTGTGTTACGCGCGGGTCAAAATGCTAGTTAATTGTATAATTGACAATTTCATAGTGATTATATTCGCTTTCACACATCACACTCGTCGTAGTTGGTATTTGATCAGCATTCTAGAATACAGTATGTTTTATTCCAAAATTGATTGGATTATAGTTATTACTTTGCAAATTGAAAGAGTAGTCGCTAGTAAGTAACTGTCAATTGCCAAGCCCACGTTTTTCCAACGACTAGTAAGCGAATTAGCGAACGTTATATTGGTGTCATCCAACCAGGACTGATAGCTGATAGGTTATTTGCGAATAGTATCATATCTTGTGTAAAGTGTAATTATATCGATTTATTTGGGAATTTGATAGAGTTTAGGATGATAAAAAAGATTGGGGTTTTTAAGGTTGTATATCGCACTATTTGCAAATCTTAAAGGTTAATAAATGTTTTATCATCATTTTATGCACATTAATATAATGTCTATTATGAAGCAATTTGATATAAAAAACTTGCATTAGTTTTACACTTTTACTTAGAAACCTAGAGCTATCAATTTTTTTTTTTTTTTTTTGGTGTTTAGAGAGCCATAAGGACGGGTGATGAAAATCGATCCCAAAATCTCTTAGAATTGGGAAGAAAGCTCTAACCACTTGGCCTACACCTTACTCTTACCTAGAGCTATCATATTGAGTGTGGGTTGATTTTGTTTAGGTCTTGTCTTGTGGTAACGGATTTGGCCCATGCAATGTTTTGGTTATACATCACTTCAATTCTTCAAACTGAATTGATTTGTTCATGGGTCAGATCAGATCGGGTCGATTTTTGACAAATCCATTTTAATGTGTTTTAACATGTAAGAAATGAAAATATCGCATACAAGATACATACATTGACTTAAAAATAATGTAGGGATTTATGTGTTTTGGGGTAAAAATGAAGGGTTGCATAGAATGCATACAAACATTGAGGCAATACATGGTGAGAATTGTAAAGGTTCATACAGTGAAGAAATTGGGCCTCAAATGTTCTAGTGGGCTGGACTAGCCTTCTCCTTCTAATATTTGAAAGTTAGTAACATTGGTGGGAAGGTCCCCATTTCCATTTTTTGACAAATGAGGAGCCTATTTTCCCACCAATGTAAATGCTCTAATTGTGGTTGTTCCAAATTTGTGCAATCCACGTGGTTTATATGCAAAATAAGATCAAAATCAACGAACGCTAGTTCATTTTAAATTAGTTGTTACTTTGTCTTAACTTTTAATCTAATTTAATGTAGTAGTAATGTATACTTTAGGCAATGCCTTCGATTTCTTAGCTAGATACTATAGCTAGGGTTGTTCATTGATCCAAGACCGGACCGGATCAGACCGAAAATCGCAAACAAGAATTTTAAGAACCGAAGACCGGATCAATTAAGCTAGGACTGAACCGAAAGAATCGGTCCAAACCCCGGACCGGACCGCTTTGGACCGATTTGAGAATTTTTTTAAAAAAAATCTAAATTTTTAATAATTTTATGGAAAAGTCGAAAAGAATAAAGGAAAAACTATATTTTAATGTATTTTTTTTGTATGTTTAGTACAAAAAAGTTCATAAAATTAAAGTTTTCTAAGCATATTAAGGATAATCTTAACCATTATTTAAGGTTTCAACGCATAATTTTAAGCAAAAAAAAATCGGTCCAGTCCAAGACCGGTTTTATAGGGTTTTGGACCGGACCGGACTGAAGAGCGAAAAAATAAATTTCTAAACCCGAAGACCGGACCGATTAATTTGGTGTGGTCCGATCCGGTCCATTTTTTAGGTACGGATCGATTTATGAACACCCTATCTATAGCTACTTTTAATATATTGTAGTGGTTATTTCGATTAGCAAGTTTAATCTTTTTTCAAAAATTCGTTACTTATTGAAAGTTATTTTTTTTATGTATATATGTTGACTTCTTTGGTGCATCATTTTGAATATTGATGACTATTTTTGAGTTATTTATATTTAGAAACACATATTTAATCTTATCTAGTCCGTAAATAGCAAGGAGCAATATGTAATGATCTAAATATGATCACCGACTATAAAATCTATTAGAAATTAATAAATTATTACTTTGTATACATACGTCAATACGTCATTCTATGTTTCTATCTATAGAAAAAAAGGGAGAAAGAGACGCGAGTTTCTAAAGAATAGAGAGGATAAAAATGTAATAATACTGCCAACTTGTTAACATGCCAAAGCCAAGGGTGTCATTGGTAGCACAGGTAGTCTACAATGTGCTGGAGGAGCCCATTATTTGTGTCTACAATATGCTTTGACGCTTTGTTGTGGCTGGTCATGACTTCCATCTATAAAGAAGAAGCCCAAATTTCACTTGTTGAGCCCATCTAATAACGACTTTATCTGTGGCTCATACAGTTACCTTTTCACTTTATCCATGATATGGAGTACTTGTATTAATCATTAATCATGATATCCATTAAAAAAGAGGTAGTGAGTAGTTAAGTACTATGCCTTTAATCTAGCACGTGAGTATAATCCGCAGTACTTAGATTTGATGTTTTTTTTTTAGCTTGTAAGATTGAGGGTCCTATAGGGCTGGAACTCACTACAGGTCACCTTTACCTATATTAAGTATTATTCACCGATTTACGATCAAATCGAGAACAAAAATTTACTGTATAACTCAAGAACGATCAAAGATCGGGCTGATAAAATCGATCTAAAGTCTAGATGGGATCAGTCTTATTTTCTAATTTTTAAAAATATTTTTTATTACGTTGTTAAAAAAAAATAACACAAATAATTGTTTAATGCTTATTTTTTAATCCAAAAATATAATTCATACTTTGCCAAAACAATAATACAAAATAAAGATAAGAAAATCAAAAATCTCATTCCATAATTTGATTTTACTCGAATTATTTCGTGTATATATAATACTTCGTACTCCGTAGTAAATATTACCTTAATTCGTTAAAAGATTTTCAACTAAGTTAGAAACTGATCCGTTTTTAACTTTAACCGAGGTAGCAAAATTCACTTAAGAAGACATTGGATTCTTTTATCCTCAATTCCTCATTGCCGAATTCCTAACTTTAAAATCATTCATACCCTATTCCTAACCTTTTTCTCGAGCCACAATTCACTAAGATTTTTTTAACCCAAAATAAAATCCTAGAGTTTAGCCAAAGGAATCTGCTTGTGTGGAAAGAAAGCAAGCTCAAGAAAAGTTAGTTATTGTCAAACTTAAATCTTCATTTCTTAATATCTTTTGTCAAACTCTAATCCTTTGAAAAACATCCTAATTCTGCCTAATCTGACGTGCCCAATTCCCTAAGTCACGTGAATAATCATGTGGATTATGATTTAATATACGTACTAGTATTAGCTTAGGATCCAAAAATTGCGCCATTTCGTCTGACCATTACCTGTATCTTTTATTCTTTTGGCTCTAATAATGGTAGTCTGTGGTTGCCATTTTTATTCACATTAGTATTACTTAATCATATATATAGTTTAATGTCTTAACTTGATTCAGTGGGCTTATTGTTTGGTGAGCCGGGATTTCAAGGACAGAGTAGTATCGATATTATGGTCATAAAATGTAAAGCGACTGCAAATTAATCCATACAAATATACTCGTAATTATGAGATATAGATACATGACATAAAAACTTCTTCTTTAACGAATTGTCAACTAATATTTCATGCACCTTAATAGTTTTGTCTCTACCACTTTAGTTAAATTAAAGTTTTATTTTTTTGTACTATTAGTTGTTGCTTGTATATATTAATATGATCTCAATATTCTTAATCATTATATTGGTTAGTTGCAGTCTAGTCTAGTACCTAAATTGTTCCATTTTCTTCTAATTAATGAATTAGTGGTTGTGCTAATTAATTTAGTATAGTAACTGTCTAAATTATTAAATAAAAACTGAATCTTAATTGATTTTATGCTGTTATAATTTGATTATGTCAGTAACATGGAGCAACTCCAAGTCATCCCATGAGTCAAGTGCTCTAGTGGGGGGTTAGAAAACATTGTCTAGTAGTTGAGTCTCTTATGATATGATGGTGACATGCCTTTCCTACAAGATAGAAAGATAGGAGAGAATCAACCATTTTAATAATAAAGTTATAGGAATGTATCCAAGTTTATATCACTTTTAAGAATTGACATCCTCTATTCTTTAAATAATTCTATGGGTTAATTTCTCATAAATACTACAAAAACTTTGCAATATATAGTATATATAATATTCAAATGTGAAATTATATCCTTGGTTTTTTTTTAAGAGAAAATTATCCTTAATTATTGTATCTAAATAAATACTTTGTATATGAGTGAATTAACATTGTTTAAGATTGTTTTATATGACGGATGTATAAATATACAGTAAATAGCATAGTTTAATATTTTTTGGCTTTATAGCTAAGATTATATTATTCGAAATTTCAAATTACAGACTAAAACAAATAAAAAAGGGAGAAAACATTTATTATGTATAGCTTAATGTCATGTTTGATTGGATCATTGGATGTTAGTTTGCAATAATCGAGTTGGAATTCTATAACCATAGCTTCCATGCATGTCGATCAACAACATTTAGTACTTTTATGCTAAAAAAAATAGTTGATGTACGTAGTAATTATTAGATGTGGCCCTTGTGAAAGTTGTTAGTTGTTGATTACGAGTAGATGTTAGAGATGGTTGGCAATTAACAAACTGGTTGTTGAATTTAAGTATTCAACACATATTAATTGTATAAGCATTAGGATAAACATAAAATGATGCTTGCTTGGAGCTAAATTATCTAGTTTTGTCAAACATTACCTTTAAAAACTAGTTTTGTTAACTTTATAAAAAAATAAAAATTACTCCATCTACTATTTTTTCAAA